TTCAATATCGGTATCTTCATTGGGTCAACTGCAAAAACACGCATTCAAAAATCGGAAGAAGAATGAAGGTATCCTGAAAGCAACAAGGACAAAGAACGAACTAATAAAGAAAAAAGACAACAGTGAAGGGGGAGAAAATCAAAAAGACTTCACTTTTTACGTTTATGACATCACAAAAAAGTTATCTGTCAACTTGGGGAATTTGACTTTTTAGACCCAATTTATCCCTTCTATTTTATCCGCTAAGTCCCTTCCCTAAATACCAGAACCAGCAAGGGGTGAGCTGTAATCCGGTATTTGGTGACAATCCCTTCGGTTGAAAGGTTAAATTTGGTGGTCGATCGATGTACTACACTGGATTGCGCCCCCTTTGCTCGATTGCTCTCGACTGTTCTCTTCCTCGGAAAGAATCGCAAGACACTGGATAGTAATTGAATTCAGAAATAACTATATAAATTGCCCAGTATAAGGACCACTAAGTGGCCTGAATACAATTTATTAAGTATCAATGAATTTAATCTGCGATAAGTTCCGGAAAGCTGCCTCTTGCAGTTCACTTTACAAACAATTCTAAACAACTCTTCAACTTTGCTTCATAAAGCTTCACTAAAAATCTCGCGTCGAGAACTCACTTTAAAAGTTTCACGAGTCACTCTCAGGACCCGTCTGAATTCTATAAGTTTCACCCTTGTTTTCTCCAGTTCGGTGGTTCTGCCTTAATCGCGTATCGTTATCTTTATTTATTTTCGGTTCGGTCAGAGGCGTACCTTTCCCTATCCCTACTAACATTCACTTAACTAGCTGCCACTCAGGACTTATCAGCTGAATCAACCATTAGGTCAGCTTTGATTGAACATCGGGGTGGCACTTAGTTAATCAGGACATACTGAGCAAACATTGGGTTCAACTACAAAATCAGCTCCCAATCGTATTTGACCAATGACCCCTTGCATGATTTTATTTTAGTTCTTCCTAACTTTTTCCTTTCCCATAAATTGGGTAGTTCTCACATAACCGGGAATTTAACTTCCATGATACTTGACATCTTTGGTCATTTTTAATTTTATTCCAGGGGCTGGGTAATTCCCTTCACCGTGTCCGTTTTGATCCGAAAGAAACACCACAAGAGTTTATTTAATATACTAGGGCTGTTCATAAAATCTTCATCCCGAAAAATTCCCATTTCCCCCCATAGATGTTCCCAATTTTTGTCCGGGGCTGTACTTTTACTTGTTTGTCGTTCTTATCGAAAGTCCAAGTGGAGTGGGTTAAGCTGACCCCAATGTTTGCTAATTACAGAAAATCCCTTTCGCTTGGGTACAAAGGTCAAAACTAAAAACTCTCAATTTAGGGGCCTCCCTTTACCTCCTCAGGTGGGTAGGTACCCCTTACGGGTCCTTACAATGCTAATTTATTGCTTTTCAGAGGGTTCCGGGGGTCTGGGGGTCAAAAATGCCAAATGACCTCTTAGTGGTCATCCGAGGTCAAATGAGATCAAACGCGTCCAAACGTCTTTTTTTCGATGGGAGATCATTCCCATCAAGTTTTAATCATATCGGACTATCCCTTTCCATATTTTCGAAAAATTTGGGTCAATTAACACTTTTCCCTAAAATTGCCATTTTCACCCGATAGGAAGTTCCGGAGAAGATTGGGTCACAAAGCGTCCCCCTTCTGGGTTGGCCCCTCCTACACATTGGTGCATTAAAATCACAAGTCAATTATCACTATCATGTGTTAATAGCCTAATTCAATTTTCAAGTGCTAATAGCTTTCGACGTAGCCGCCGGATTGGGTCCAAACCTTAATACATTATAGGTCTTTCCCCAACCTACCATCCCCCTAAGTTTCAGCCTCCTAGCAATATCAGGGGTTGAGAAATAACAAAAAGTGGGTTTTGTTTACATAGGGCGTAAAACCGGAACTAATAACCGGATGCGTTCAAAATCCCGGTGGTGGACTTCCCTCGCCTAGGGCTACAACGTATTGCAATATGAAGTCATTCTGACCATTAGTTACCGGTTTACAAAAAGTGCTAATTGCATTTTCGGAAATCATTATCACTCGCCCCCCAGGGGTCCCAGGGGTCTGGAAATTGGCATGCCCGGCTAAAATCATCTCTATTAGTCACTCACCAATTTTCATAAGGATCGGACCAGTGGTTCCCAATCCGGGGGGGGGGGAGGGTTTCCAGATTTTGCGCGTTTTTTTTTTCAATTCTTCACCCTAGAGGTCAAATTCAAGGTGCAGAGTCCGATTACGATTGTTTGCTCTCAAACTAAGCTTATCTATCTTTTAATTTCATTGGTACAAGTTCATACAGTCGGTTTACGTTAAAATCAAATTTCGCAATTTTCGACCATTGTCATCATGAATTACCAATCTTACACCAATATCGTCGATGTCGACGCACGCGGTCGGTCCGATTATCACGTGTGAAAATTGCGATCATATAACAGAAACAGCAAAACAAAGCAAGAGTGTGATTGATGGAAATGTGGCAAAACTATTGTAAATAAATAGATGGAAAACTATTGAAAAAAAAACGGCAGATAAAAGAACTGAAATTTCAAAAACAAAGCAAGAGAGTTAAAGCACAAAAAACACCCAAAATCAAAGTCAGATATAAGATTTGGCTCATTTGGTGATATAGCAAAGATTAGTCATAAAGTCCCACTTTACCAAATTAACTTTTGTCA